GTCGAAGTATATGTTGTTGAAGCATTTGTGAGGATGCAGCTGGAGTACTTCTTTTATTTCCTGCAGTGTCGTGTCAGACGCGCCCAGCGACATACCAGCTAGCAGTGTCCATGGCGACAACGCGGAAGCGACGAAGTGGCTCTCAGTTTCTTGGTTAATCCTCTTAACCAGATCCAATGTAAACTCGTAGATGGATCTCTTGAAGTACGGGGCCGCTGTCCTGTGGTTGCACTGCGCCGAAATTAGAGAAATAAACGCCGCAATAAACAGGAATATCGTTCCGAGTCTCGCCATTTCGCTGGCGATGTAAAAGGACTACTAATTTATTGAACGAGTTATTTTACTGTCGTTTTAAGAGGCATGTTATCACAAGTGACCTGACGATAACACTGCCCGGGGCCGGAGTTTGGCATGATTTTGATTGTAGTCATTACTTAAATTATATAATGCATCTGTTTTATGTGTTTTCGTACGTGAAAACACTAACAAGTGTCAATCATTTAAGATTCTAGAAACAATATCTAAATTTACTTTTCATCGCTTTTCTTATTCTATAAGCGAACCGGCGGGTTCTTAATTATTATCGTCGTTCATTGACCGACTATGTTTGTAAACTATTTCAAACAATCCATTTGATAGTTCACGAACTCTATCATAGACTTATTTTGCACATCGTTTCTTTGCACAGTGCTAATTAAACGTAAGGTCGAGATGGAATGAGACTGTAATCATAACAGAAGCATTTACGAGGTTAGAAAATAATTATTTCGTGGCATTAACAATCTGCAGACAGCTACAGCCAGTATTTCAGCACGATCTAATATAAGAGAGGTAAAATTATTTGCTAGCTGCCAGGCCTATTTTTTACGGGATTATCCGGTAAACGAGCAGACGGATCACCTGATTGTAAGCAATCAGCGTCGCCCATGGATACCTGGAACACCAGAGGCGTTACAAGTGCGTTATAGGCCTTTTGGGGATTAGGAATTTGAGGATTGTTCGGTATTCAGGGATTGGAGAGATTGGGGAAAGCGGGAGGAGGCGGGGTAATTAGCATAGGTCTCTGTAAAAAGGGTAATCCCTAGTCCCTGAGTTGGCTCTTACGACAATCATAGCATGAGTTGAGGCGGCGTCACAAGTATTTAGCTGTAGGTACAACACGGCTTGATTGTGCTAATGCTAAGTACGTACGTATCAATTATTCTAACACCTCAGTATGATGTCAGTACAGTAAATGGTTAAGGTCAGTATTGCACAAACATGCAAGCATCAATTCCAAATAACATGATGTCACATATCAGGTCGCACCTCGCGCAGTATTGTGAGGACTAAGGCTAAGTGCGGACTTAATGAGTTTGACGACAGTTTTGTTTATAGGTGTAATATTTTAGTCACTCTGGATTTGGTGGCTTTACAAAGCATATAGTAGGTACCTACCTATCGTACCTACATAGATAAATACCTACCAGCGTATATTTTTATAATAACTATCGTGAGACATACTAAATTAACTAAAAATCGCGGGTTACTCACGTGAATATACTGAGGAACTAGTTTCGAACCATAGAGGGATTCTTCCTCATGAGCAGCGTGCGCGGTCGCGGCGATGCGATGTCAGTTTAGTTAACATACCAGCCTTTTATAGAATTAGGTAGTTTGTGCATACTATGTATAATCAAATAATTCACTGCCTGCCTCGTTGGCCTTGCCCGGTGGTCGCAAGTGCGACTACCGGGCTCTTAGCTTAGTTAAAATGTACAAAATGGCCTAACCATCGACAGCAATAGGTACTAGTACTAGCATTTATAATTGTTTGAATTCGTCATAAAATGTTATAGCAGTGATTGCATTGTCATTCATTTATTTTTAGATTATTATGTACAGTTTAAACCTTGGTATTGAATTAATAACATCATAATATAACATCACGCCTTTTATCCCCGAAACGGTAGGTAGAGGTGCACATTACGGCACTTAATGCCGCTGTACAATGTAACACCCACTTTTCACGGAATATGTTATGAGTCCCATGTAATACGGGGCGAGCCTATTGCTATATACCGGGCACATTTCCAGACTCCGTGCTACTACTGAGATTTTTTTTTAAACTCATTAATACTTTACCCAGCCCGGTAATCAAACCCGAAACCCCTTGGCCGGCAGTCGCACTTGCGACCATTGGGCCAATCAAACAAGATGTTTGTTATAATTTGTATTATGCATTGACTCATTCATCAAACAGACGGATTGGTAATACGGACTAATACTCAGCAATCGAGCTGGATCAACAAAACAGCGTGTCTGAGATAAATATAGACGTTCATAAGTAACGATTTCCTGCAAGTATTCTGAGAATCGACAGATCGGCATCGGCAACATGCGATGTGCATGTTATTGTAGGACAAAACAAAACATAGTAATACATATGAAAATAAATAACTTAAAGATTTTTCGTAGAAAGGAATCGTTGAAGTTATCTACAATAACAAGGTAAATAGGCCCAAACGCATTTACTGCGAATTATATCTATAAACGTGAATCACGTTCAAGGAAAGCAGGATTTTAAGCGTTCGTCTGTTTAGCACAATATAAAAAACTTGAAAAAAAAGGACTCATTCAAACCATAGTCACCATAAACAATACATATATGCGTTTTTTAGTTTTATGTACAACGTAACTACGAAGTAGAGAAAGAAAGATATAAAAAGCATTTATTTGACAAGTAGGCACATAAATTATAAGAAAAATAAAAAAATAAACTTAAAAGAATAAATAAAAGACCAAAACAACAATAAAAAAAAACAAAATATACTTATACAATACAACCATAACAGTAATTAAAAATTAAAAAAGAAAACGATAAAAATAATTAATAATATTATATAGAAAGAAAGAAAGAAAGAAAAAACATTTATTTAGCACCAGGCACGATGCAGCATACATAAATAAAATAAAAAAAAGACAATCAAGGTGTGACAGTGGAAGTAATAAAATATAAGAGTTGAAAAATTGAAACAGAAGAATTAGAAAAGAGACGCTGACAACATGCCTATGCTAAAAGGGTCACCCACTCAGTGTAAGCCAGGCATACAGGTTACCCAGCACTGATTTTCAGTGGGCACCCATGCAGTGACGCACGGATGGTAGCAACGTTGAATGGTTAGACAAAGACAACAAGAAAATATATATATATATATTATATACATATATAATAATGCATCTGCACACCCACCACACACACATATACATACACACACACATATACATATACATACATATACACACATACACACATATATATGCAATAAGTATGCAGATACTACAATGGTATACTTATCAATGTAATAAATATAAAAAGTAATGTAAAATAAAATAAAAATAAAAAGTAAAATGTTAATAAATAGTACACATGACACAACGAAGGACATAGAACAGCCAGTATGTCTGCGTTCTGTATCATTCATACACTAAACTGGCTAGAGTTAAATGATAGACAGATCAACATTAATTGCAGCCTTGTCTTTTTGTGAAGTTAAAATAAACATTTTAAGATTGTATTTGAAACTATTTATACTTGGTGAGTCTCTGATTGGTGGAGGTATATTGTTCCAACATTTGGACGCTGCGTACCGAAAACTGCCTCGAAATGCTGCTGTTTTATGTTGAGGTATAGCTAGATGCTGTGCACACTGCCTAGCCTCCCGCTCTCGGTGAGCACCAACCCAGGATAATTTTGAGTGCAAGTACGAGGGACACTTATTTTTGATTACGCCGAAAAGAAGACAAGCTAGGTGGAGCTTACGACGTGACTTCATTTTTAGGAGGTTGTGATTGTTAAGATAAGGTGTAACGTGACCCCTCGGTGGTATATTAAAGCAAAAACGGGCACATGCGTTTTGAACCCGTTGAATCAGCCTCTTTGTTCGTGATAAGAGTCTAGAGCCAATTACTGTATCCGCGTAATTTCCTATCCTTCATCGTAGATACAAAACTGTAGGAGACGCAATTCGGCGTATTTTATAATATTCATAGTCCAAGCTTATATAAATAACTTACCATCCAAAGTACCTATCCTTGTTAAAACATCAAGGTATGTTTACGTAGTTTTAAATTCCGTTATCCCGTAAAAATAACGCCGTCAAGTGGTCAACAACCTCTTCTTTTTTAATCAGCCAGAAAGACCTAAATTCTTGGTAATAAAAGCCGCAATATACTAACTGCTGTCTGCTGCAATTGCTGCTTTTCGTCAGTGTAATTGACTAAAATACCTAGTAATAAGCAGATCCACAATCCTGTTAACTAATTTACCGAAAGAGATTGAAACCTTAACAGTGCACCAAAATTAACTTTAAATTACTAATTTAAACAAAAAGTCCTTTTTTGTGTGGATTTTTTTTGCTAAATTACAGTTACTGGCCGTGGCGTGTGAAAATAATTATCGTACGCCATAAAAAAATTAAAAAATGATTATTTTTCTTAAATGGCATCTAACAATTTTTTTGCCAAAATCAGCCAGTATCTTCCATATTTAGAATTTAAAAAGTTTTATTACAACTCGTATAATTATAATGGGGTAGACGACTAATTTTTATTTTAATGTCCGTCTGGTAGATTATTTAAAAATATTAGACACGTATTTTTTATTTTCTTACGGAAACGAATAGTTTCGAAGATATATTGATTTGAAATGTCGCGTGACGTCACTTCTCAGTACATTTTATACTAAGAAATGACGTTTTAGCCCCCACTCCTAAACTTTGATTCGTTTTATCTAAGTATTGTTTTATTATACAACAAAATAAAAAAATACGTGTCTAATATTTTTTTATTACCTAAGTTACGGACTAATTATATTTTTAATTTACATACCCTGTCATCATCCCCATTAATAATTTAGATAATTTTTACCCGGATCTCTCATTTTATGATGAGAATCGTCAAAAAACTTAAAAACTAACTGTCAAAAGTGTCACTGTCAAATCGAACCCAAACCCAAGTGTCAAAGTCCTTCCGTTCCGTCCTCTCCGCACTTCGCCGCCGAGGGAAACAAGGCAATGTTTTATTTTTGTAAACATTCAGTAAGTTACAATCTCTCAAACGGGTTTCAACGAAGATAAAAGTTTAATCAACATTTACTTTATTTGGCCTCAATAATGGTGCTCGTAAAGTCCCTGGCTGGTGTCAGAGTTCTGCCAAAACCGTAAGTGTTAAAATTCTTTTTTACTAGTTCGAAGTTTGAAAATGTTTGGATTTTGCTTCGTGATTTATCACCATTTTGATGTAAATACGCAGATAACATTAAAAGAATTAGGATAATTAACTATTTTCTTATCTTTGCACCGAAATTCGACACTTTGCCCTTGATGATTAATATGTTTCGACAAAAATTAAATTGTAAAAACAAGTTGCTGTCTTGACGAAACTAATGTATTTATCTCATTAACCTGTTATTTTTTGCACAAGCAAAGGTTAACTTCATGTCTAGTAAGGATAAAGATATAATTTAAAATTCTTGTAAGTACTTATTCAATAATTTATTCTAGAACTCACTTAAATTAATGAATGTTTCTGTGCATCCTAAAAATTAATATGTACAAAGATTTAAGTCCAGTTGAAATGATGATAGACTACCGATATTATAGTGAATTTGTGAAAATTGGCAATCTCATTAATGTTAACTCAAGGTACAAGTACTTTATAACTGTTTTCGTATCAATGAACTGATACAGAGAGATGTTTAACGTCGGGATTAACCCTAGAACCCTACTCGGGGTGCTGGAGCACCCCACAAGGATTTGTTTTTGAATTTATTTCACTTGTGTATAATGCACAGATTTGACTTCTCGCGTATTTTACCTTGAGGTCACGCGCTACAGATTGGCCAGTGACTCGGTGACAGCCGGACGTTATAGACGCGTGCACGTGTGTCTTTGGGTGCTGTAGCACCCCAGTGTAGTAATAACGTAAGTATTTTTTTGAAATTATAATAATTATTTTTGAAGCTTATTGCGATTATCAAACAATTAAGTAATTGTTAATGATTATGGTTTAAGTAATTGATTGATGGGGATATGTTGTAAAATAAAAGTTAACTCGTACACTTAAACTTTTGTGAATTTTTCCTTAGATTTCAGAAATGACTTATAGTGCACAACAGTACCTAATGTTTTCAATATTGTTTGCAGATGGCTGTGAACAACCATCTGCCAAGCATCTAGCCGAAAAGGACTTGACTATGGTGGGAACCACACGAAACAACAAAGGCGAAATTCCAGAATGTTTTTTGGAGTTAACAAGCAGAGAAAAAACACCGCTATGTTTGCCTATGATGGACCTCTTACTCTTTTGTCCTATTGCCCACCAAAATCGGCGCAGAAGAAAGTCATCATCATGTTATCAACGCTCCACGACTCTCCAGACAACAACAATGAAGTCGAGCTTCCAGATATAATCCATTTTTATAATAAAACAAAGGGAGGAGTGGACGTTTTTGATGTAATGGCTAAAAAATACTCTGTGCAAAGAAAAACTAATCGTTGGCCAATGTGCATTTTCTATGGATTTTTAAATGCAATCTGTATTAACTCCTGGGTTATCTTTAAATGCTCAAAAGCAAATAATAAAGCTGAGATAAAATATCGTCGTTCTTTTTTAAAGGAACTTGGACTGAATCTCATAGAGGAACATTTGGAGGAGCGCCTACAAAAGCCAACTTTGAGGAGGGATATAAAAGAAAATATTTCTGCTATCCTCAAAAAACCCATACCTGTCGATCCTCCTGAGTCTGGACGTCACTCTCAGGGGCGTTGTGGTTTTTGCCCAAGAACCAGGGATCGTAAGAGCAAGACCAGGTGCACTAAGTGCAAAATTCCAATTTGTTTGGAACACCGAGTGAAAGTATGCCAAAGGTGCTCAAATTGATTTTCTATTGTAAATTTTAAGGCTGATTTGTGATCTCGTTCTGATAAATAAAATAATAAAAGTAAAATTTTCTAAAACTTCTTTTATTTACATAGTTTATGGATTTTTTATTTTGGGGTTCCTCATCACCCCTGTGTAGGAACACTGAATATGCCAGACAGTGTAGGGTTCTAGGGTTAAGTATGTCTCACGAAAGTGGTATTACAAAAAGTATTATGTTATATTTCTATTGCTTTCAGGGTCTTTGCAGAACAGTCAGACAACTACATATTGTCTCCGGAACAAATCAAGTTTTACGAGGACAATGGGTTTCTAGTTATTAAGGAATTGATTGACTTCACATCTCTGTACAGTTACAAGTAAGTACTAATGTTAGTTGTCTAATATTTTAGCTTCTGCTCGCGACTACATACGCGCAATCCCGTTTTTTCCCGTTCATGATTTGCGGTAAAAAGTATAAAAAACCAAGTATTGGATAAAGTAAAGTATCCTATATCCGTCTCCTGGTTGTAAGCTACCTCCCGACAAATTTTCATCGAAATTGATGTAGCTATTCTTGAGTTGTAAATAGTAGGTACCTATAACCAACACGACATTTATTATTATATAGATTTTAGACAGAATAATAACGAAATAAACAATTTGCAAAAATTGAACATTAAGCCAACCTTAAGAGGGTTTCATAACATCATAACATCACGCCTTTTTATCCCCGAAGGGGTAGACAGAGATGAACATTACATTACGGCACTTACTGCCTCTGTACAATTTAACCCGCACTTTTCTTCACTATTTACGTTATGAGTCCCATGTAATATGGTGAGCCTATTGCCATATAATTTTGTGCCATTATGCATGTGTGTTTGTTTGTGTGTTGGGCACAAAGGTAGGTTATGGTCTAGAATCTAGAATAACACTTATACAACTTTTATCCTATGGGAACCGGGCAAAACCCATGACAGAATCTAGCAATTTAGAACAATACTTATTTCTTACAAAATCACTAAATATTATTATGTTTTGCAAGCATAAGTAAATAAAAACTACAGCACTATTGTAATTTGTCTATTATGTATCTTGTTTACACTGAAACTCAGTACTTGTAATCAGAAGATTACAGTCATATCATTTTCTAGACAAATAATACCCAGCTATAATCTGATTATTTCATTTTAATACATTATTCATATTTATTTTAAGGATATTATTTTCTTTAAGTACAAAATAAAATAAAATAACTGCGTCTTTGGTCGAGTGGTCGCAAGTGCGACTGCCCGGTAAAGTGGTGTCGGGTTCGATTTCCGGGTCGAGCAAAGTAATACAGGGTTTTTAAAAAAATCTTAGTAGTAGCACGGAGTCTGGAAATGTACCCGGTATATGGCAAATATAGACATAATGTGTGGTCACCGGTGACCGTTCTCCGCTTACTCCATTATAGACCTTATTTCCGATGTGTAGAGACTACTTTTGTATAAACTAATGTTGTTAATTTTTCATAATCGTGCATTTATATTAGATACCTAGGCCTGAAACAACAAATGTGGATCACACAGAGAGCTGTTCTGTTCTAGAATTGGGTACTAGTCAAATTCAATACATTTTTTGAACTGTCAAAAACGACAGTTTTCAATGAATTTTAAGTACGCGATTGGGTATTGTGACGTCACGTTTTTTTGCGTCAAACAGCAAACTTAGTTCTTAAAAAATTGTTAGAAAAATACTTTAATCAATTAAATCAAAATCTGATTATTTTGATTTTAATATTTTATTGTAATGAAGTGTCAAAAATAAATATTTTGATTAAAAAAAGTATCCAATTGCACAGCAAACAACGAGTTATTCTGCCACTGCGCTAAACTGCGCTATAATTAATCGCCATTGTTTTAAATTCGCGAACCTTCCTGAAATAATGTGTTAAAATTGTGTAAAATTTTGTACATTTAAAATAAGTAATTATGTATTGTTTAGAATTAATTTATCTGTTATGTATATTAAGTAGTTATCTCGGTCAAAAACTAATTATTATGTCGTCTTTTCAATACAATGAAATATTCAAAAATAATCAGACTTCAATTATTAATTTTCATATTTTCTTGTAGGCATTAATCTACTTTTTTTTATCATGTAATAAAGGTATCGACAAACCCAGAAATCGTACAATTAAATTCAGTTAAATGTGTGACCCTCGTCGCATCGTTTTCGCGCATACTATTCATAACTATGCGCTCCGACATGGCTCGAAACTAGTCAAGTTACCCCGTAAAACATATAAGTAAACATAATTATTTCGAATTTGTTAAATGTCTATTTTTATTCAATTTCAGACAGCGTTTCTTACAAATATGCAAAGGAATAGTCCCAGCCGGCAATGTAAGGGTTGTCAAAGAGCCGACCTTAGTCGCACAGAATTTGAAACCTGAAGAGTACATCAATAAGGTATGTATTCCATTGTTCAAGGTGAATTATAGGGAGTCAAAGCACGAGTAGGAAGTAGGTGGTTTTTAGTGAGTAAGAGTCAGACACTCCCTCTCAACTCACCCAGAACGGAAGTGGTTATTTGATGATTTTGTATCTTAACAAAAAACTCAGTCGTTGGATGCTGGCCTTTGCCAACCGGCAGATTTAGAGGCCTGTTCACCAGTGGACTTCATTATTGTAGCTGATAATATGATGACATAATAATTTTACAACTATTGAATTAATCAGTTACATTACAGCTCATCATTTATCAAACATGCCCAATTTTAGATTTTCGGTACTTATACTTAAATATTATAAAGAGGAAAGATTTGTACCTATTTTTGAATGTTTGTAGTGAATAGGCTGAAAAAGTACTGGGCAGATTTAAAAAATTATTTCACCAATAGAATGCTACATTCTTCCAATTTGACATAGACTACATTTCATTTTGAAAAAAATTAGGGATCCTTGGTAAAATTTGAACAATGTGACCGAAGGTGTAGAAAAATGAGTCTTAAAATGTCTTTCGTCGAATGCGCTGCCGAAACTATTAGCGATAGAACAAAATAATGTACAACAATATTGAAGAACATCATAATGTCTACAAAAAACTCCGAGGTAGCATATGTCCAACTATTGTAGTTATGTCACTACAACAATCCAAATTACCAAAATAAATAATTGTCTACCCCGTGCCCGGGACGGGCTGCTTGTACATTATAAATAGGTATATTTTCTAAATAGATGATGCCAATAACGCTTTGTCCTAATTATTATGTTTTCGGCTCACTCACGTAACTGTTTGACGAGGAACTCGACTAGTTTCAAGCCATGCTAGAGGCTTGTATTCATGAGCAGCATTCCGTGGCGACTGTCGAGTTGCTACTACTGGCCAGCGCGCCCTCTGCCGTGGTTCACGCGCACTTTCCTCTATCTGTAGTTGCTCGTGCGACACTGCTGCGTAGGTTTCGAATGATTTGATAGGTTCTGAATCCGAATCCCGGGTCGACGCAAAAACAGTGCTTTGACTGACCTAAAAGGGGTTTCAAAAATTCGTGATTCGTGAATCATCATCATAGATATCATGTCTTACTTGTTATAATGCGTAATGTTAGTTTCAGACTCAAGAACCTCTTCCTTATATCACTTGTTTTTGTCAAAAGTAATTCCCTTTATTCATCATCTCTTCAGATCCAAGAGCTGCTCTACGACGACGTGTTCATACAATATGGCGAGCACCCGCGGCTACTGTCGGTACTGTCGCAGTTCATCGGAGACGACATCACCGCCGTCAACAGCATGTTTATTAACAAACCACCTGGATCCTCGAGACATCCCCCACATCAGGTTAGTGTAAAACCATATTTAATAATACTAAGATATTGGTTTGAGCGTGGGAGAGCCATGCTTCGGCACGAATGGGCCGGCTCGACCAGAGTCCTACCACGGCCGAGCAGAAAACCGACGTGAAGCAACGCTTGCGTTGCGTTTGAGGTTACCGGAGGGCCAATTATCCCCCTCCCCAATCTTCTCAATCCCCGAAGCCTCAACAATTCTAAAATTCCTAATCCCCAAAAGGCTAGTAACGCACTTGTAACGCCTGTAACGCCTCTGGTGTTCCAGGTGTCCATGGGCGACGCCCATTGCTTACCATCAGGTAATCCGCCGGCTCGTTTACCGAAAACAATGACCAGAGGCGTGTAATTTGCAGGTGTCCATCCCCCTTCCCCCTTCGACCTTTCTCCTTCCCCCTTTCCCCATCCTTCCTCCCTTAAAATCATATCTGTTGAATTTTAGGCAGGGGCTGATAATAAAACACGCAGACATTCAAGTACGATAATTTTATATTATCCTTTTATAACTTGGAAGTAATACGTCTGGATCCTACCACAGAGTATAACGGAATGAAATTTAAATCGTTAGAGGTAGATAGAAGTAAACAACAAGATGGCGGCTTGATTGCGTCATTAAAAACTGTCAAGTCTAGTCATTACAAAGATTATTTTTTGCAATCTCAATCAAACAAATCAACAATATCAAAAATAAATGGTAGAAAAACACTTCGCAATCTTTGTATGTGCGTTTGTAACAATTTTTTATTCTAAGTTTTTTTACTTAGGTAATCTTCCATGACAGATGGTAAGTACTTTAAAGTCTTTTTTTCAAAGTAGGTAAATTATTTGTTTCGAAATACTTATCAATCAAATGATAAGAAAAAAAGAACTTAAGAGCAGGTTTTAATATATTTATGCCATCAAAAAAGGAGGTTGAAGCTGGGTTTTTATACGTGTACATTTAATTTCTAGGATCTATTCTACTTCCCATTCCGTCCGGCTGAGAAGATCATCGGCGCGTGGACGGCCGTGGACCATGTCAACGTAGAGAACGGATGTCTGTACGCAGTGCCCGGGTCTCATAAGGCTGAGATACTATACCAACATGCTGGGAAGAAGGTAACATATCATAACTTGTCGCGGAGAACCTAACGGGTAACCGGGGCTCCGGCTCGACGTGCAGGAGAAGGAACGGGGTGGTTTTTAGTCAGTAAGAGTCTGACACTCCCTCCCGCCTCACCCAGGCGGGAGCAGTCATTCGATGATTTTCCCCCCTTAAAAAAAAAAAA